TAGAGGCGTTTTCAAATTACGAAAACGCGCTGCTAGAGCACCTGCAGCAGAAGATGTCAACATCAATTGCGTCTATGACGCCACCGTCAGTGACGGATGATTTTCCCCGACCTAAGCCGCTAATGGTGAGCGTTAAGGTAAGGATGGAGAGAATCTCCTGTCCTAAGTGAGAGAGGTCGAGATGGCCATCGCATCCGCCATGCTCCAGACCGAGCAACAGCGCGTGGCGCTAGCCATCTCAAAGCTCGGTGGTCGAGCTCGAGAATGGGCACTGACGTGCGGCACTTCGATCGAAGCTGCGTTTCCCTCCAGGGCGGAGCTGAAATTACAGCTCTCACGAGTGTTCTCGCCGCCTAATCAGGCATATCGTGTGCGATCGCGTTTCCTTTCCGCCTGACAGGGCAACAAGGAATTGGTGGACTTTTTCCAAGAGATGCGCACTCGCATTGCCGGGATGGCAGCAGATCCCCTTCCGGAGGCGGTCACTGTGACCGTCTGGTGTGGCCAGGATGGAAGTCTTCGGCTTGCATCCGTCTTCATATAAAGAGGTGGTGAATGTGGCATTGAATGCAAAATTCAAATTCAAGTCGGCACGACTTGGTTGGAATGCACATCCAATAGCTCGTCGAGCATTCTGAGCCCATGGATCTCAGCTATGCTGAGGATTAGGGAGCAGTGTTCCGAGCTGCCGGGCAGCATACACATGAACGACGGTGTTTTGTCTGTGAAGTATCCCGTCACCTTCGGAAAGGTTGTCCTCTGCGCAAGGCACGTCAAGGTTCTTCGAGCCATCGCCCCAACGCCTACCAGTCTGGTTCGTCGCGGGGAAACGACACCACTTAGTAGGCGCGAGGCGACCTACTGGGGAAGAGCTGAGCTCTGTTGAGTCTCAGGGAGGCATAGGTCAGCATGGCCTAGCCCTGAAGATCTTCGTGCTCTTGATCACGGAACGTGTGCAAGCCGGACTTGCTGGTCGTGAAGGCAACCGTAAAGGGCTTCGAGAAGCCATGGAAGATCCTCATCGATTCTGAGGCGTCGGGCAATTATGCTCAACGCTCCACGATGGAGGGAAGTCAGCTGATGCTGAGGTGCTGAAAGCGCGGTTGGGTGTCATCGTCACAGTTCGCCTAGCGACGGGGACACGTGTCGCGGGTTCGAAGGTCCCTGTGGACCTCGGAGTCAAGTTCCTTGCTTTTGATAGCATGGAACGCTGTCTAGGCCTAGACTTGGATGTAAGGTATGACCTCATCCTAGGAATGGCATGGTTGGAACACCATGTGG